TCATGACGTCATCCTGGGATGGGACTTTCTCTCCCGCTATGACGCCGTCATCCATTGTGCCGCCGCCGAAATTGAGCTCTCACTCTTCTCGCATTTGACGCCAGAAGACAGTCCCCCGACACTGAGCAAGATTCTAACGAAAGACGATACAACAGTGCCTCCAAACTCGACGACGGCTGTGTCTGTCTACTGCGCTGGTCTCTCCGACACCATTGGACTTGTTTCGCCATCTGACCGCGCTTGCAGCAGGAAAGGGTTGCTAGTACCTTTCGCGACCGTGCAGGTCAACCAGGGCAACACTGCTATTTTTGTAACCAACCCGTTCCCGTACGCTGTTACCTTGCTTCGAGGGGAATGTCTCGGCAGAGTGGAACCAGTCGACGACGCACAAGTCCTGGACGTACCCGATGACACGCGCGCTCCCAGGTCGTGTACCATCAATGCTGTTTCCACTTCTGATTCGTCGTCTGCTGATGTATTTGGCCCCTCCATCGCTGACAACCTTACGGCCGTACAGCGTACCCAGCTTCTGAACCTGTTGCGAGAATATCGTTCTTCTTTCGATGTCGGGCGAAGTTCTCTCGGTCGCACGTCCGTTGTTATGCATCGCATCGACACTGGTGCCCATCCACCTTTACGGCAACGTCCATATCGCGTGTCGCCTGCTGAACGTCGAGTAATTAATGATCAGGTTGACGATATGCTCCGACGCGACGTTATTCGGCCCTCCGACAGTCCATGGGCGTCTCCTGTTGTTCTTGTTGCGAAGAAAGACGGTTCTGTGCGGTTCTGTGTGGACTACAGACGGCTCAATAAGATCACTCGCAAGGATGTTTATCCACTGCCACGCATCGATGACGCGATTGACAGCCTTCATGGAGCCGATTTTTTTTCTTCTCTCGATCTGCGCTCGGGGTACTGGCAAGTACCCATGGCTGACGACGCTCGACCAAAGACCGCCTTCGTCACGCCAGACGGCTTGTACGAGTTTAACGTCATGCCGTTTGGTCTATGTAATGCACCTGCGACCTTTGAGCGCATGATGGACACCGTTTTGCGCAACTTGAAATGGTACACGTGCTTGTGTTACCTCGACGATGTCATTGTCTTTGCTCCGGATTTCTCCACGCATCTCCAACGTCTGAAAGAAGTTTTCGCACGTGTGAGCAATGCCGGCTTACAACTAAATCTGAAAAAGTGCCGCTTTGCAGCGCGGCAACTCACCATACTGGGGTACGTCGTGTCCAAAGACGGCATTCTTCCTGATCCTGCCAAGCTTCAGGCCGTGGCCGAATTCCCCAAGCCTGCGTCTGTCAAAGAACTGCGTAGTTTCGTGGGCCTGTGCTCATACTTCCGACGCTTCATACGAAATTTCGCCACGATCATATCACCGCTGACGAAGCTCCTTGGAAGCAACGGGCCCTTCAATTCGTGGTCATCCGAGTGCGACGACTCGTTCGCGAAGCTCCGCCATTTGTTGACGTCGCCTCCCATTCTACGCCACTACGACCCTACAGCCCCAACGGAGGTGCACACGGACGCCAGTGGAGTAGGCCTCGGCGCTGTCCTGGCGCAGCGAAAACCCGGATTCCCTGAATATGTCGTAGCATATGCAAGCCGTACGCTCACGAGAGCCGAGAAAAACTACACCGTCATGGAGAAAGAGTGCCTGGCGATCGTCTGGGCTCTTACAAAGTTTCGACCTTATTTGTATGGTCGCCCATTCGATGTCGTCACCGACCATCATGCACTATGCTGGCTTTCATCATTGAAGGATCCCTCAGGCCGTCTCGCCCGTTGGGCTCTTCGCTTACAAGACTACGATATCCGCGTGCTGTACCGCAACGGATGCCAGCATGCTGACGCCGACGCCCTCTCGCGCTCCCCTCTGCCTGAAGGTGATGTGCTCTGCTCAGTATCCTCGGCTGCTGTTTCTGCCATTGATGTTGACATCATCGCTACCGAACAGCGCAAGGATAATTGGATCGGCCTGCTCATCGACATGCTCTCTGATCCATCTGCAACGCCATCCACGCGTGCATTGCGTCGTCAAGCTCACCATTTCGCCATTCGTGACGGCCTCCTACACCGACGCAATTACGACGCCGACGGCCGGCAGTGGTTACTCGTGATACCCCGCAGTCTGCGGTCAGAGATATGTGAATCCTTCCATTCTGATCCGCAATGCGCGCACTCTGGGGTATTCAAAACCTACCATCGCATTCGACAACGCTATTTCTGGCGCGGGATGTACCGCTATGTGCAGCAGTTCGTTCGCTCTTGCCTCACTTGCCAACGCCGTAAACCGTCAGCCCACATGTCGCACGCCAGTCTACAACCGTTACCTTGCCCTGACCGTCCCTTTGGGCGCGTAGGTATCGATTTGTATGGACCACTTCCTCTGACGTCGGCTGGTAACCGCTGGGCCATCGTTGCCGTTGACCATTTAACGCGATACGCCGAAACCGCCGCTCTCCCTGCGGCTGCTGCGCGCGATGTTGCGTCCTTCCTGCTGCATCGATTTATACTGCGCCACGGACCACCCCAAGAGCTTCTCAGCGATCGAGGCCGTGTCTTCTTGTCGGAAGTCGTCGAAGCCATTCTGACGGAGTGCCATTCTGTCCACCGCAAAACTACTGCTTACCACCCACAGACGAATGGCCTCACCGAACGCTTTAACCGCACCCTCGGCGACATGCTTTCTATGTACGTCGCTGCCAACCACACTAATTGGGATAATATACTGCCCTTCGTCACCTACGCCTACAACACCGCCCCTCAGAGCACGACTGGTTTTTCACCTTTCTACTTGCTGTACGGAAGGCACCCGTCGCACACCATGGACACGATACTCCCGTACACGCCGGATCCATCTGAGTGTACACCTATTTCCGAGACAGCCAGGCTTGCTGAAGAGTGTCGCGAGCTTGCCAAGACTTTTACGACACAAGAACAAGAGCGGCAGAAGAGTATCCGGGATGGCTCCACCACTTCTGAGCCCACGTTCCTTCCTGGTGCGCTTGTATGGCTCTGGATCCCGACCTCTGCCGCTGGCCTCTCTTCCAAACTACGTCCCAAATACGAAGGCCCCTACCGTATCATCGAGCGCACCTCACCCGTCAACTATCTGATCGAACCCGTTGAACAATCTTCGGACATGCGCCGCCGTGGGCGAGACATCGTCAACGTTGAGCGCCTGAAGCCTTATTATGACCCGCTCATAATAACAAGCTGTTAGGTCGCCAGGCGGCTCCCTCTTCGACCCCGGGGTAATTGTAGCGAAGCCTCCGAACTATGAAATGGGTCGAACTCTTGAGTACCTTCTAGTGGGGCTACCCAACAAGGACGCCGCTCGCGCTTAGAGCCCTTGCTTGGCTGTGACTGTCGCCATTGTGTATTCTCGCTCGTTGCCGGCTAATAAACGCCTTAACAATATATATATATATATATATATATATATATATATATATATATATATATATAAAACCACACAGTAGTAATGTGACAGTTGTTTAGCAATTGGTGTAGTTTTCCACTAAATGCTGCTTCCTAAGAGTTCTCATTGCTCTGTTCACCATACTGTTAATGACGTCAACGTTTGAAGCAGGCATGTCGGGCTTCTCCAGCACGAGTAGAATACCGTTTGGGAGATTTGCGAGCTCGGTGTGCAACACACCCTCCTTTTTCATGCGCTTTACCTACTTCCTGCTCATTAAGGCGGTTGAGGTGTATCTCTTCTGTCAGGTTGTTTTGTGCTATCGATGCCACAGGGCTAGTGGGAGGAGCCGTTGCACGCTTGGTGGGCACTTTCTCTTTCAGAACATGGCTGTTAGCTGCATGTTTTTTAAACCAGTTATTGTGATTACTTGTTTGTCATTTGATAATTATGTTATTTTACCCCAGTTTTCCACAATGCTAGCCTTGTTCCAGGTCTGTACGGACCATTTGATTTTGAACATGATCACACCACAAAATTTCCAATTCACAAGCATCTGGGCCCAGGCACACTTGATCATGAAGAGTGGCTTGTGCTATTCGCATTTACCCTGGGTACGTGGTTTCATGGCATAGCAGCACAGTGAAACACCCTTTTTAAGGGGTTGAGCGGGAGTGTAGAGCGAGGGGTTAGATGCCAGCAACATATAGTCATGTCACTCCGGGGGGTGTCGACAAGGTTTATTGACGTTTGAGCAACAGGACTCTAACCAAGCGCGTCGGTTGGGCTTGTCTTGTCTTGTCTCCTAGGAGATCTTGGCTCATACCCACATGGGGGATTGGCCACACTGTACCTCATAATAGATCATTTTTTGCAATGCTTGCTAAAAAAAATAATAAAGAGAAATTAGATAGGAACATTAATATTGTTCCTTTGAAAAAACGTGAAAAATTGCAGAAGAATGCGATAAACCAGAATATATAAAACAAATTAACAAGAATGAGGAAGGGGAAGAAAGAATTGTTTGCCAGAGCGGGCCCACATGCACTTCTTTCTTCTCTGTGGTCTGAGCCTTCACCTTGGCAGACGACCCACTACTAGAAGTAGGTGGCAATATTCCTCTTCAACAACAACAAAAAAAAGAGCATCGTTCCGATGCTGTAAGGTTATTGCGAAAAAGACCAAAACAAAGTAGTTTAAACAATGAAAAAGGGCACCAATAATCAAATGTTAGACGCGATAAGTTCACCAATGATGAGGCAATTGTCGGAGCACAAATAAAAAAAAAACACAAGAAAAATGGTCTTTTTTTGGAAATGGTCACTTTGGCAGAAAACCCACTTACTAGAAGTAGGTGGCATTATGTCTATTCGTTCGTTTTCCATACTACGAAATTTCGAAAACTTCAAAATCATGACGCAGAGAAATTCAAATACCGTAACATTCATTCAAATATTCAGTAAACATTGACGAGACATCTTATCATAGTATTTTCATTTTCTCCCAGTTGCCTAACCACGAAGGCCTCATACCTTGTGGTTTAGAGCGAGACAAAGTTGCTTGCCTGTTCTCGCGCATACTCGGGGAAGGCATCCATCTCGTAGGTCTCCATAATGTCCGGGTGGAAGCACAATGCCTTGCCTTGCTCTCCAGGACGATAGAAGGGTTGCAGAAGCTGTGACAGCTGCCCTGCAAATGCATGTGACACACTCAGGGGCCAATGTCAGAGGCCAGACACGCATTCTTATATACCTTGAAACCAATGAACCAAAAGGTTTAGAAATATGTCGCTGACATAACACCGAGAGAAGGAATGGGAGACGATACTGCGTAAATAAACGAAACGTATTTTTCTGTTCCCTCCAGGTTTCGTTGAATGAAAGCCTGCTGTACCTTATTTAAGAGGAGATGTGGCATTGAAATTCACATCATTAAGGGGAGATGCTACTCGATGGCACTTTTTTTTATATTCACCCTAGAGCAATGAAACTTGAACTGTTTATGGACCTTTTTATGCTGATTTCAAATATATAATTAGTTTTCTTGCAAGTTACATATTTTTAGCTCTGCAACATGACAAAGTGAAAACCTTAATTCTTTTGCCGCCTCTCTTTTCATTCCTAAACTTCCATAACTTTTTACCGTTCATAGTTCACATTGTTTGAAATAAAGTGTAGTATGCAAATAACTAATTAGGAAGCACATACAAAATATGTAATAGGTGTGAAAAATAAAGACGTAAAAAGTCCATAGTCCACCTACCCTAGTGAAGGTTTACATAAAATGTTTTATTGTACAATAAAGTACTGAAATTCAAACTGGATAACTGTATTTGTCATACTTTGGGAAAAACTAGGGCATAATTTCATGCAGATCTGAGCACTAGAAGTGCCCAGAAAAGGAGGGGCACACTGAAAAAAAAAAGGCAAAATTTGTGTTTTGAGAAAAACAGGTTGTAAAGTTAAAATTGAGTTTTATTTATGAAAGATATCATTAAATCTGATGAGATTTGCACACCAAAAAGAACAATCCTTCTTGTAGTGGCCACTGCCACTAAAATACGCCAGCACCATTAATTTGTCCCTCTCGGCTTTTTCGAGCAGACTCCTCACAGACAGGGCCATGAAACGCTTGCCAAACTTCCGCTCCATCCAACAGAGCCTTGTGCCAGCTGCAAGCCAGGAAGAAGTTTGAGAGGACTGTGAAATCTAAACTAAGTCCAGCGTCATGCCATTTTGCAGCCATGTTTGTGCCACATACCGTCGTACATAATGGCAATGTCGTCCCCGCAAAGTTCCTTCACTGCGAGCTCCTTCGACCTCGCGAGATTGGCGCTGACGTCGTCCATAGCCGCATCATGAACTTCCCGCCTGACAGGTGTGAATGACTTTTGAAGCATTGGCTTTTGCACGCCAACAACTGTCGCAAATCAGACCAGCTGCTCATAGCCTATTCCTACAGAGCGTGCCGTACAGAGCGGCAATGGCGTAGTGGTTAGAGCATCCGCCTCGCATGCAAGAGGTCCGTGGTACGAATCCTAGTGTCGCGCAGTTCCCAACTGGATAAAAAAAAAAAAAAAACTCCACGTGGCAATGGAACTGCATTAAGAGACCTGGGGTGCAGCCTCACCGGTAACCACCGCCGGTAACGCACTCCTTCACCAGAGAAGGATTGGCCACCCTGGTGCAGTATCTGGCCACTACCTTCCACACACATATGTCAATTAACTCACGGCCCTCAGTCCCCAGTAGCTGCGAAGCAACTGACAACGGCGGCGGTTAGATCTGCAAAGCAGCAGAGGGTGCTAAGAATCTGGACAGGCCCCCATTAGAACCTGAACCTGGCAACGTTTAACGCTAGAACCTTATCTAGTGAGGCAAGTCTAGCTGTACTATTTGAAGAGCTAGAGGGTGTTAAATGGGATATAATAGGGCTCAGTGAGGTCAGGAGCACAGATGAGGCCTATGGTACTGCAGAATGGGCACGTCCTTTGCTATCGGGGCTTAGCTGACAGAAGAGAACTGGGAGTGGGGTTCCTTATCCACAGAAACATAGCTGGCAGCACAACAGCTTTCACGTGCGAGCAATGGCTTTTTTCATTCCTAATGGAGATAAATACGCGAGAAAAACATTGTTCAGCTGCACTGCTCGACAAGACATGGACCCCACAAATAGGCTTCACAGCATATAAAAGCGTGAAGCGGCCAACAGCGGCCCTCAATCCGTACGTGCTAAGCCAGTCACGGCGCTCGAAAAACGCGCAGCAGCGTGCTTCTTTTTACTATTTCTTGCGCTGCATCAGCGAGGGAAATAGTTGTTATTTGAAGAGTGAGGCTCGACTCTTCGGCTCATGCAATCCACAATGGCGAGCGGCAACGCATCATCGGTGACAAGGTGCTCGAAGACTGCACACTTTGGACCTTTTAACAGGCACCGTGTGCTCTTTAGATGCAATTTTAAAGCATTTACAGTTAAGTCTCGACCTGTATTTTTTTTTTCATAACAGTAGAGGTACCAATCTTATCAGAACAGGCAAAAATAAAATATCGGTAATTTTGAAGAAAACCCGCATTTTTCGACCCGCGTCTTCCCTTAAGGGGAATAAAATAATTATAAAATTTTGCTAACACATGTAAATTCTTATTCTCATATGATAAGCGAAATTGTTTTTGAGCAACCTGTTATAACCTTTAATTACAACACTTCACAGTAACTTATAGTTCTCTCCAAATTATTTTTTTAGATTCAACATTTAGGTATACAATGATATTCCAAACAAGACCCCCCCCCCCCCCATGCTCTGCAACAACGCGCCTTGGCAACAGTGCTTATGAATCTAATCCCAACCAATCCTGCTGGTGTATATTTCTGCAGTTCACTGCAGCCCAATTGTTGCGCGCATGCCCTGCGCCATTTGTTTCTTCATGTTTGTGGTGAGAGGTCAGCTATGCCTATGCAGTCCAAAAAAGTGGCACAGAAAATCAAAGTTATTTGATGGCATCAAGAAAGCGGAAAGAATGTGCACCACACGTCTAGATATTTCAAGCCCGACCGAAAGCAGATAGGGGAATGGGAGACAAATTTTGATAATTTGCTGCAGCTAAACTATGGGAAGGCAAGACTTGGACGGAAGCCTAATTACAATGCACCAGTGTTCAGCGAACACGTGGACGATGCGCTCTTCGAGTACTTTGAGCGCGAAAGAAGTGCAAGATGTGTCGTCAGCAACCGGACTCTTCCCGAAGAGGCCATCAGAATTGCCAACAGCATGCAGTTGGGAAACTTAGTAGCCTCCAGCCATTACATAAATCGCTGGAAAAAGCTGTTCGGTGCTAATGGGCCACGCTACGAACCAGAGCCACAAAACCACTGAGGAACTTTCAGAGGCAGCAAGTGCCTTTCGGTCTTTCGCGAACTCGGTGCGACCGTGCAACGGCTACATCATATATAACATGGCCAACATGAATCAGACAATAAAAGCTCAATGTATAAAAATTTAGTCCATGCACCCTGTGTTTTTTTTTCTGGCACAAAAATTTCACCTTCATCTTGAATTTTGGTGCCAATCCGGACAGCTCTCCTCACACAATCGCACACACGCACTTTGCCGGCGATTTCGACTTCGTTGAAAGGGGTGCTTGCTCGAAATTATACGGTATGCATGTTCACAAAGCCCCTTGTGTACCGTAAAGCTACTTTTTTTTTTAACGTTCAAATGAGCATATAAAAGCACAAACAATTTGAAGCATTCTGCGCACAATGTCTTGGTGGGAACTTTTGCAAAAATACAATTCTAAAAATTTGTACGATGTGCTGATGAAAACTGACAGATGCATAGCACTCACGAATGTTTCAAAACTAAATTGCACAAATGAGAACCTTTTGTCTTCATTACTTATATAATGGCTGTGGGATGACTGACGGCAGCTGCACGAAAAATGAGGGCTAACAAACGAGGGCTCAGTTTTATTCCACGGGAACAGTTACATAGTGTTACATCTAAAACCCGCTTGAAACTAGAGTAACCAAATCTCACTGTTGAGCGATTCTGTGGCATTCCAAGTTTTGCCTTGCTGACATCTTTTCAGGAGTTCCTTGAAGACCATTCCTGCCTGGACATGTGCAGGATGCTACAGCTTGTGTTGTGCAGGTGCCCATTTACCATAGGCCAGCGAACATGAGTCGACTCCCTCACACTCAGATTGCGCCATGAGTCTGAGTCCGGGAGAGTAATATTTTCATGATTCTGAGTCCGAGTGAGTTCATTGCTTGGAAAATTCTGGTGAGTCTGAGTCCCAGTGAGCCCAAAGTGCAGCATGTATTTCTTGAGTGAGTTGAACTTATGCCAACTTAAGATCCTTTCTATCTAGTGGTCTTTAGCATCACTATCAGCTTTACCTGAACTTGGACTCATGAGTCAACTGACTCACACTCAGATCGAGCCATGGGTCTGAATGAGTCCGGGTGAGTAATGTTTTGGTCAGTGTGAGTTTGAAGGTCGAAACACAAGTTTCATGAGTGAGTCTGAGTGAGCTCCACAAGTATTGCCGACCTATGTCTGAGGATGCTCAAAAATTGAACATGCACTAGGAGCTCACCCCAAGGCACAGTGCTTGTGAAGTGGCAAATCACCAGTCCAAGTTTTACAGTTAAAATTAGCTATGGTGGCCATCTACATGGCAGGCCCATCGTTTGGTAAGCTTTTGATGACCCAGCCACAATAGCTCATCCAATGTTTCAAGACAGGGCCAGAGTATAATTCAATGACACAGCCAACACCGATGGGGCTTTTGTGACACCTTGTTATCATAGTGACTTCACAAAGTGAGCATCTGGTTTTTTTTTTTCCTATGCTCTACTTTCCCCTTATGGCACTTGACAGTTTCGCACTTGTTCTCCATCTTTCTGCGGCTACAGAGGTACCTCCTGTTCGTTTCTTCACATTACTGCCAGATGGTGAAAAATCTCACGTAACACTCACCTATATTCTCATGCAGAACGTCAAATAAACATTTCATTCTCTCGCTCCAGGCAGAAGACTGTCGTCTTTCAATGACTTTTGCAGGGAAGCATGCATCTACGTGGTGATGTTTTTTTTAAACATCTCTTTTCCATCATCTTTTACTCCCCTTTCCCCAGCCTAGCTTAGCCAGCCGGTTTAAGAACTGCTTAACCTCTGTATGTCCAAG